CTGGCTTTATCCTTCTTCTTCTGAAATCCGGTAGATATCCTACACCGACCACGTTACTAACCAGGACGTTTAATTAAGAATGCAAAACGGAAAAGAGGTGTTAACCTCTTTTCCGTCTAGCCATCTCATTACACTCACTAAAATAGAAGAACTTCATTTAGTGGATGTTGATATAGAAAGTGCAAAATATGGTCTCCTTTAACAACCTAGAGATAAGAATGCTTGTCAAACAATATATAGATACCAGATGAACTTGAGTTGTTTATTTCTCTTACAACAACCTTCCAATAAATAATGAATGCATTCAAATGGGACTAGACATACACAGATAAGACCAAATTTATGATAGTATCAAGGAGTCTAATACATAATGAACAACTAACCCTCAGTGGACTTGGTGGACAGCAAATAGAGAGAGTGACAAAATATAAATATCTGGGAGCTTAAATCAACACATAATTAGATAGAGACCAAGAGATCAGGGTACGAATAGAAATGGCAAGGACAGTGTTCTTAAAATTCAAGCAATTGGTCTGTGACAAAAATCTGAATACTGCGCTGAGACTGAGGTTTGTTGAATGTTACGTCCGGTCCTAACTATTGTACGGGGTAGAAACTTGGACGTTAAAAGCGCAAATAGTTAAAAAGCTTGTAGCCTCTGAACTTTTGATATACCGGAGAATGTTGAAAATTCCATGGACTGCCAGGATCGCCAATAAGGAAGTGCTGAGAAGGATGGGTCGAGACAAAAAATTGTTGAGAACAATAAAAGTGTAGTATGTATATAGTAAATAAAAAAATGTCTTCTGCAGGTCATTATGCAGAGTAGAGTCGATGTCAAAAAGGGAAAAGGTAGAAAGAGGAAGTCATGGCTGCGAAATATTCGAGACTGGACAAACATGACTGTAGATGAATTATTTCACGTTGCAAAAGACAGAGAAACTTTTAGAAATGTGGTCGCCAACCTCCGTTAATGGGGACGGCATAGGCAGAAGAAAAACCTTCCTAGTTGTGACAGGGTAAGGCTTTTTTGTCACGATATAAGCACATTTTAACTCAAAGGCACTGCCAAAACGTTAAACGATCCAGGGCAGCCAACACTGAAGAAATCATAGAGGGATAGTGTAATAATTTAATAATAACATTTGAAAGCATCGAACTCAAAATATCCTAAATTATATTGAAACAAATATGTTAGATGACCCTGGTACCCAAAAATGTATATTTCGAAATGCGACAAAATACCCGGAAAGGTACATGAATGCCATTAAAAGCGCAGTATCACTGTATGTCGTTTATAAACCTGAAATATTATATAATAGATGAAAAATGGGTGCCCACCCTGGTATATTGTATAATAGAACAAAATCTGGATGGTTTGATGCATCAACTTTCAAAGACTGTTTTTTAAGTTGTTTTACATTGGTCAAAACGGGATAACAGAACCAAGGTTTTGATTGGAGACATTGTCCTCACATCTGAATATTGAGATAATAGGGGTTGTTAAAGGACAAATACAAGGTTTGTATTTCTACCACTTAATTCTACAGGGTTTACACAACCACTTGATGTTGGATTTTTTCGGCCTTTAAAAAGAGCCTGGAAAAAGATCCCTACTCATAAAAACTAGTCAACCTAACTTAAATTCAGTTAAAAAAACCATCTTTTCTTAATTGCTAACAAAACTAATAGATGTGATTAAACCAAACTTTCAAAAAAATCTTCAAAAATCATATCGCGCAACTGGAACTTGTCCCTTTGACTCACATAAAGTGCTAAAACAGATGCCGAATGAGGGATTTGCGTAAAGAGTAACCTCTGAAATTGATTATTAAATTTTTACAACAAAAAAAGAAAGGGGAATACCATTAAAAAAATTCCTTAATACTGATCCCGGTCAATCAGTTCAATTTGAAGAATTTAATCATAATCAAGAGGGAAGTGGAAAAGAGGGTTTAGAAGAAGAAATAGAACTGGAGACGAATAACGATGAAAATTTAGCAGAATAAATAGATATGGAGATACATAACAGTGACAATAATAATTATGAGAAGACAGATGAATTACCTACATGAAGAAGAACAGGATAGAGTGGCTGAAAATATAGAGTCCGATGAAAATATCGAAGTAGATGAAAATAATCTAAAAATTAGTGCATTTGTGATGGTCCAATTTCCTACAAAAAAAACACCGTTAAATATTTCATCGGGATTATAGTAGAAATAAATGACGACAATACATACTAGACCGTAAAATGTTTAAGAAAAAATATAGATGTTTATGCAGGGCATCCGCAAGCCGATTGAACGTATTTAAACCTCTTTAGGTCTCGTCAGAGCAACTGAATTTGTCGGCTTAATTACGTATAAGCGGTTTGCAGATGCCTTGCATCGTAATAAAATCTAATACCGTTGTATGTTTTAGTTTCTTACTCTGTTTCGGGTATCAGAAACTAAATTCAATAAGAATTTTTACCGTGATGAACGGCATGTGGAATGCAAATTATAGCGTCAATTGTCGACTAATTTATCAATCTGTATGCTTTGCAAGTTTTAGAAAGTACAGTGGTAAAGATTTGAATTTAGTTTTACAATGTAGGAAATCTTAGGATTCCCTGTGTTATAAATGATATATCCAAACATATCAGACATATCGGACGTCAATTTTAAAGATATTGGAAAAATATTAAAGGAAAATTCCAAAACTAGAAGAGGATATTTTTCTTTTAAAGAAAATTTAATTTGTTTTTAGTTATATTTTTTCTTATGTTTTTTTTTTAATAAAAGTGTAATCATTTTTATTTATTAGTATTAATATAATAGTAATATAATACTAATGTAATTACTCAAACAGTAGAAAAGAACAAAGGTTTAAAGATAATGAAAAGAAAACTCACACAAAGTAAAAAAGAAATATACAAGCTGAGAGATAAAGACGGAAAGGCAACAAGAGATAAACAAAACATTCTGAAAATAACCAGAGAGTTTTATAATGACCTCTATACCAGCCAAAGACCACAAGACAATTTCCCGACACGAGTAAAGACTCTCATAAATCAGGGATCGGAAATACTTTTACCCATTACTGTGACAGAAATAAGAGCAGCTTTAAAGGAAATGAAGAACCATCGATCGTCTGGTGATGATGGACTTGTTATCGAGGCAATAAAAGCAGGAAAAGAAATTTTATTAAAATCAGTAAGCGAACTGTTTAATAAATGTTTACATGCGGATACGATTCCAAAAGACTGGAACAATGCAGTAATAGTCTTGTTGCACAAAAAAGGCGATATTACGAAATTAGCAAATTATAGACCCATCAGCCTCTTGACACATATGTACAAACTGTTCATGAAAATCTTAACAAAGAGGCTAATACCTAAGCTTGATTTCTATCAGCCCAAAGAACAGGCAGGCTTCATGGCAGTATATGGCACAAATGACCATTTGCATACCATAAAGATCTTATAGAAAAGTGCATCGAGTACAACATACCACTGCATTTGTCGATTACGAGAAGGCTTTTGATTCTGTAGAGTTTGAAACAATACTGGAAGCCCTAAATCAAAGCCGAATAGATTACAGGTACACGACACTAATCAAAAACATCTACGAGAACGCTACATGAAGTATACGACTACACGAAAACACAGAAAAATTCAGCTTAGGTCGAGGAGTTAGACAAAGAGACAATATTTCACCAAAATTTTTCACGGCAGCTTTAGAGTCAATATTTAAGAGCACTCAATGGCAAGATATGGGCATCAATATAGATGGAGAAAGATTAAATCACCTAAGGTTTGCAGATGATGTTGTATTAATCGCAGAGTTAACTTACATGATACAGTTTCTATGATGCATTCGCTTAAAAGTCTGTCTGAAAGAGCAGGATTGAAGATAAACTTTGAGAAAACTAAACTTTTAACAAATCTCGTAATGAGTGGAAATATAACTATTGACAATAATACCATACAACAAACAGACACTTACAAATATCTGGGACACGAATTCAAAATAAGCAGAGACAATCAAACACATGAAATACAGAGGCGAATAGGCCTAACATGGGCAGCATTTGGCAAATTAAGCCATATTCTAAAAAGTTCAATTCCCATGTGTCTCAAGTGAAAGGTTTATAACCAATGTGTTTTGCCTGTATAAACTTATGGAGCAGAGACTTTAACACTCACGCAAAAATCTGCGAATTAACTCAGAGTTACACAACGAGCCATGAAACGTGCAATGCTAAACGTGAGCCTTCGAGACCACATATAAAACCAAAAAATCAGGCAAAGAGTTCAAGACGTCATCGAAAGAACCACGACGCTTAAGTGGAACTGGGCAGGGCACTTAGTCAGAATACAAGATGGACGGTAAACAAGACATATTATGGAATGGATGCTCAGAAACTATAAAAGAAGCCGAGGACGACCATTGACTAGATGGACCGATGATATAAAACGTGTAACGGGAAACTGGCTACAAGCGGCCCAGTGTAGACAACACTGGAAAGAACTGAGAGAGGCCTATGTCCAGCAGTGGACGCAATTGGCTGATTGATGATGATTATTAAATATACATTTACACTATTAACTCTTATATTAAAGTATTACAATATATTATATTCCTATATTAAAAAAAAATTAAAAAGCTTCTAAAAAACTAGTATTAATAGAAATATACTGGAACAGATTAAATAATAGGAAATACGATGCCTTCTAGTTTGATATAAATAAAGTAACAAATCTCTCTTTATATGATGCACTTGTTTGGGGACATCCTGTATTCTAAATAAAAATTTTGCCCAATTATTAGCATAATACACACGTCTAACAAAATTCATTATAAGGTTATCGCTCAGTGAACTGAACTAAAATCTGTACGAAGGAGAGTTTATAAAAAGCAAGGATAATATAAGAAATTGAAAAGGGAGGAGTTTACCAATGCCGTGACGTCACAACGAACAAGTGATATAATAAACTGCACCGCTATGATCAATTCAGTAGGGGAGGCGATTTTTCGCTTTGTTTAAAAAATCGGCGGGAACGGTTGGTTTCTTTTCGTTGTGTTGTTCTAGTGATTTTTGTGGTCAAGTTTTGACATTACGATGAAGGAAACTAATGCAGTACTATTTGAAGAAGAAAAGAAAGAGATTGCGAAAAAAGGTAAAACAGTTCAATATAAACACAACGAACAATAATCATTTATATTATTACAATTTTAAAATGTCACTTTTATATTTTACTTCTAATATTTATATGGTACTATATAGAATGTCACACAAGATACACAATATTTTATTTATGTTTTCTTTAATTTAAAATTTCTTTATTTTCTGCCTCCATTTTTTGCTTATCCAAACCCTTTGATGAGAAACTGTTTTATATTATTCACTATTTTTTTATTCTTAGCTATTATTTAATCAAGTTAGAGATAACTTCACTTTTTGTGTTTGAATTATTGTCTTAAGACTTGATTCTTGTTTTTTTTTATTCGTGTGTAACTATTTCGAATATCTTGACATTTAAAAATAAATATTAATAAAAAATTTAAATATTTTTGATAATAAGCATTTAAATTGCACTTATAATAGAGCAGCAACAATAATAGCCTCATTTGAACACGTATTTTTTCCATTATTTTCATTTGAATTATGAACTTTAGAATATCTGCTATACTTATTACTAATTCCATTTTGGAAGAACAAATCAGTCTAACCTCAAATTAACTTAACAGGCATACCTCACGGAGGTAAGAAGCCATGGTGGTTCCTCACCTCCATGGCATACCTTCATACCAAAGGAAAGAAAGTTTATTACATTACATCAGACCAGTAGTATTTCTGATGCTACTACCAAATATTCATTATAAAATATATATCTGTTGAAAATGCCATGATGTTTTTGCATATTTTCTTATTGTGCCGTTTTCTATAGAAGGTTGGCCATCGCTTCTTTAAACGCTTCTCTATCTTTTGCAACGTGAAATATCTATTTAACACTGAGGTTATTCCAATCTCTGATATTCCTCAGCCAAGAGTTCTTCTTTCTTCCCAAGACTTTTCTTCCCTCTACTCTTCCTTGCATGATGATATTTTGTAGCAGAGAGTATTTATCGTTTAGAAATATGTGTCTATATACATGTCCTATTCGTCCCACAATTCTTGATTTAAAACTTTTGCAGTCTCAAGGAATTTTTAAAAAACACCTACATAGCCTCTAATTTTTTTACGAATTGGGCTTATAGAGTCCAAGTTTCTAGCCCATATAACATTTGCGACTATACATAACATTCGACGAACCTCAATCTGATAGCCATACTCTTCTTCTCCTTCTTATTCTTCTTCTTCTCCTTCTTCTTCTCCTTTTTCTTCTTCTGCTTCTTTTTCTTCGCCTTCCTTCTTTCTTCTTATATGTAGGCTTTAAAGCCTGTTTCTTCTTTAATATCAGCCTCCTAAAATGTTTAAATCATCGCACCATATTTTTCTTGGTCTACCAATACTTCTTCGTCCATTTGGTGACTTATCACGTGCTATTCGTACTATTCTATCCTCTGCCATTCTACTAATGTGTTCGTCCCAACCCTGATTCCATTTTGTCACCCATCTATTTATGTCTTCCACATCGGCGTAGGTAGCCTCAGTTTTCAAGGGGGGCCTGGGCCCCAGTGTATGGTTGATTAAAAATTTAATTTTTTTTATTTGCCGTGCAATGAAAAAATAAATAGAAGAAATGCGTTATAATAGTATACTGGTTTTATTTTTTTAATATACCTAATACATAATATAATATATACACTGCGATAAATATTTATAAAAACAAAATATTAACAAAATATTACTTACAAGAGAAACTTCCTACTCTGTTCACTAAAAGAATTTACAACACTCTCTAAGTCTATGTCTACATCTTTTTTTATATCAACAAAGCCAAATCTGAATGTATATCTTGAGTCATTGTCGTTCTTAACCAGTTAAAAATCCGCCTCATGGCAGAAAAAGACCTCTCGCACGTTGCGCTTGAAATAGGCAAAATAATCGATACTTTAAAAAGTTGGTAGAGGTTGGGATATGTTTCTTCTGAATCAATTAAGTTTTTTTTTTATATATTCATAACAAATAGTTTCGTTAGATTGTAAAATACAATTTTTTAAAACGGCCATTTCTGCACTTAAGGCAAAAGTGGTGATATTTAAAATTTTGCGATATTGTTCAATAAATTTCTCTGAACCCTCAAAATCTAACTGAAAAAAATGATCTACTGAATTGGCAAGCGCCATACTTTCTGGTGAGAACCTTTTGTTCAGAAATTCTCTTACAGTATCAATAATCCAGTAAAAAATGTTTGCCCTCCAATACTCAATGACTCCTACGTTAGCTCTGAAGCATGTGGCGTCTATCAAACCCAATCCTACGGTTGTTTCAATGACGAAGTCAACGAGCTTGCTACTGGCTTGCTTTTTTCTTTTGGCTGACGAAATTTCCAATGAAATTTGGTATTCTGTGGCAAAGTTCGATATGTTTGTATGAAGATGGGTATAATATTGTTCATTTCTCATTCCATCTAACGAAGTCATAACACTTTTAATAACCTTGACTGCTTTCCCCCGAGTTGCACCTTTCTCCTGGAGGCTCTTTGATAATATATTTAAAATGTTTAACAGCTCATCCAATACAAAAAGATGAATTATAAATAATGGTTGTTTAATGCTGGATAATATCCCAACTGCTGTAATTTACTGTTTATTATTTGTATGAGCAACTTCGTTTTCCAGTGTTGTGACGATTCCCTCGAAACATGTTTTAACAGCGTGGCAAGTCGTATATCGACACACCCAATGAGTATCTGACAGAGTTTTCAACTTCCTGGGAACAATATTCATGTCCTTCAATATTTGTTTGTATTTTTTATGGTTTTGAGGATCTGAAAAATGTTCGTAAAGTGCTTCCAAAGTACAAAAAAATGTCGATATTGAGGGAACATTTTTACAGGAGTCTACCAGAGCCAAGTTAAGTCTATGAGCTAAGCAGTGCGTGTAAATTGCAGCTGGAAATTTCTCTCGCATTTGTGTTTGAAGACCACTTGTATTGCCTGACATCACCGCAGCTCCGTCATAGGATTGCCCTACCATCTGCAAGTCGCTAAGATTAAGCTCTTCCAAGACTCTTCCATACTGCATGCTCTTCTTATGTTCGCTATGTTCGCTTCTCTCCCTATCCAACAGATTTTTCCCTGATATTCGTCGGAGTATTTTCATCTCTGTTGTTTCTAGTAGTCGCGTCGTGCCGTTTTAGATGTGTCAAGTCTTGTTTCCACCGTGTATGTTAATATAGGTCTAATTGCTGCTTTATAGATTCTTGTTTTTGTGTCTTGTTTTAGGTGTTTATTCTTCCAGATTGTGTCATTAAGAGATCCCGCCGCTTCACTTGCTATTAAGCTTTGTTGTCGTACTTCTTCTTCAACATCTCCGTAACTAGTTATATCTATTCCCAGATATCTAAACCTTGCTTCCTACTTTATTATTTTCCCATCAATTTCGATTTCACATCGTAGTGGGTATTTAGATGTTATCATACATTTGGTTGTTTCTGCTGATATTATCATATTGTATTTCTTGGCTGTTGTATTGAAGATTTGTGTTTTGGAGCTTTGTCGCTCGTCTTCTGTCTCGGCGATTAATGTCGGCGGTGTCATATGCATAACATAATATTAGGGTTTCTTTGTTCCCCATTCTGTAACCATGACCTTTACGTACTGCTTGTATTATTTCGTCCATTATTATATTAAAGAGAAGTGGGCTTAACGAGTCACCCTGTCTGACCCCGCTTTATACTGGTATACACCGTGTTAGTTTTCAATTTATCTTTGCCTGTATTTGATTATGGAGGTTGATGTTTTCGATGGTTTGTATAATATTGATTGGTATGTTTCTTTTATACAGTAGGTATAAGACGTCTTTGACATGGATGCGATCAAATGCGAGTAATTGTACTCGACGGCCTTTTCTGTGATTTGTCTTAGTACAAATACGGCGTCTACGAAGGATCTTCCGGATCTGAATCCTTGTTATTTGTCTGATAAAGTTGTTAGTTTATTGATTTTGTTGGTTAGGACTTTTGTAGTAAACTTAAGTGCGGTGTTCAGTAGATTTATACCTCTATAATTGTTGGGATCTTCTTTATCTCCTTTCTTAAACATTGGTATCATTATGCTGTTTCTTCATGCGTCTTGCAGTGCAATATTAGTTTTTGTATAAATTTTGTTATCTCTAGGTTTATACTTTCCCCTTCGTGTTTTCCGAACTTCTCGTTGGTTATTCCGTCTGGTCCTGGTGACTTTCTATTTTTGAGTGAGTTTATAGCTATTTCTACTTCCTGAGGTTCCGAGGCTTTATATCGGTTCTTTGGGCCTTGTTTTCTTTTACAATAGGTAGAACTCTAACCTGGCCCATCAACCCTCCTCTTTTATCCGACTTGGAACCGGCTGTGGGCATGAACGCGGCTTCTGAGCTACTCAATCCTCAAGAGTCCAGTCATCGCTCTCATAACTCCCAGGCAGAGTTTAGCCATACTCAATTTCATATTTGTAAACATTGACTTAAAAAATATACTATACCAAAAAAAAATGTAGGAAGATATACAAATATAGATAGACAAAAAACAATTAAGGATGCAAATAACCTCCGAAATGTTGAATTGGGCTATGGTCTTATTGTAATGAAAATAAATTTCAATTGGCGTTCCATTAGTTAAAATGTTCTTGGCCAGTACATGTATTGTGTTTTGGAAAAGCCTTTTTTTGGAAAAAAGTTTCATTTTAAGGCCAAATCGTGTACAAGAGCATATATGTTAAACAAAATACATTACAGCACATATCTCTGCTTCACCTTTGCTCTACTCCTTTCCATGTTCAAAAGTCTTACATACATATCACGTTGGATCTCCAAATGTTTCTCTGCTATTAATATAAGACCAAGAATTGCTTCTAGGTTTACACCTTGTAGGTCCTCAGCTAAATGTTATCTTCCTTCGCTCTCTTTTATCAATAATATTTTTCTTTCATATTTTAGATTCTATTTCTTTTCTCCCATTTGGGAGATTTAAATCTCCCTCTAAAAAGGAGAAGAGACAGATCCAGACGAAGATACTCAGAGGTGATTACGGGAG